TTTACACGATAGAAACATGAAATTCAAGTTATTAATTTCATACATATTATCTGTTGACTCGGTTTAGCAGATTAAGAACATGCCATGTAGGAAAACTGAAAGATAAATTGACTGTCTGAATTTGAAAACGGGATTGATTTACGATTGGTGCTTGTCGCATTAATACGCAAGAAGAGGATCGGCGAAAATCTGGGGCGGTTGTAATTCGCGTTCTCGATTGAAAATAAAAAGGTGAACGTGTACATGTCCGCCGCAGCTCTCTCGCGTATCAACAGGCCAAATGCAGCGACGACCGCAACAATACCGAACTCGTTATTTTCCTTCACTGGTGAAGGATTAATTCGACCGCGGATGATCCGCATCCGCGATTCGTGGAATTAATTTGGAGTTCGATGAGATAACGAGATTATTTAGAGTGGGCGGAAGAAGACTATCGCGTCAACCGTTTTTTCCCATGAGCGATAAATTCACAGGTAAGAGAAATCGTGATTCATCAATTCATGTGTGGTACAGACTATGAACTTCGATCGCATCAATTCTTAATAAACAGAATTACAAATTAAAATTAATTATCAGCATGAATTCTCTAGTCTAAGAATTTATACTTACTTGAAATCGTTGCCTGAATAAACGTAATTGTCTTCGTAGTTTTTAAGGTATTGATTCCGTAATTTTAAGGTATGAACGTGAATTTGTTTTCCAAATTTGGTTATCACGTCACAATTTTGAGAAAATTTGACATCAAAGAGTATAATTAAAAGAGAATTTGTGTACCCCCTCTCCCCTTTTACTGTCAGAAATAAAGCGCAAACTAAAATGTAAGATTTTAACTTATGGAAGCTTATAAAGTCGATCTAGATTAATCAAACAAAGTATTTATAATATGCAAGATATTTAACAATTATTATATTACAAAAATAATTCTTATAAATATGCAATATGTAATCTCGCGAATTTTTTTATATTACAAAAAAATTAACATTCTTACTTGTGTTGACATCATGCTGTTCGCTAATATCACTAAATAACCTGTTAATTATTCCGTTAACAATCGGTTTAATTAATTTATTTATCGTGTGATTCTCACGTATACTCATTTTCATCAACGAACTTGGTGCGATCGTTAATGCACGTACACAAAGCATGTACCAACAGATGCATTCCCACGTACAAATTTAACGTGTAGACGTGCTCGCGTTACGTTAATGTTCCGTCTCTGCATCTGGAACGACGTTAGCGCGCGCGCGCGAATTCAGTCAGCGGTATCTAGACACATTATCGCGTCATTGTTCATGCTGAAACGCATCAGGCCGCATACACGCACCCACTGAGACATTATCTTTTCGTGCTCCAAAACTGTTTCGCCGTTGAGGAACGTAGAATCGTAACGAACCCCTTTTTTTTTAGCGATAACGAATACGACGAGTTTCCTCGTCGCAAAAGAGTATATTAGAAAAGCGAAGTAAAAAAAAAGTCGCGCGATGATGTAATTACCGACTGAAGTAGAAACAGGAGTAGAAGCTGCAACAACGCGCACAACAGCCGCAAAGGGAATAAAAGATTTGCATTTAAAATTTAAATGCGACATATAACGTCCACATCGAAATAAGACTGACAAAAGTAAAAAAAAATGCTACGTAGATATTGTGTGACATATTCGTTACGTTTCTGTTAAGTGTGCGAAACTTAACCATGCAAATGAGATTCTGCATTCTCTTCATAATCGATGTATAGCGTTTGCTTTAACTGGAAATTATATAAATTCGCAAAAGATATTATTAAGCATGAAGATCTGCCTTGACCGAGAATATGATGTTTAACATTTCATCGGTCAAATTTCTCTTAATATTGTTTTATTTAACCGTTAAAATTGATTTAATTCTCTTTCTTGTGTTTTTGATCTTTTTCTTGCTTTTCAATATTTTATCCGCAACAAACAGTTTCCTATATCAATTTTGTGGGTTGAGTCGGATTTTTGGGAAAGCGTGTCCCGTGATTTCGGTTTTATTTGTAACTTAGTCTTCTTAATAAAATGGCATGGTTTCAATATCTGGATTTCACTCAATTATTATTTCGTTTAGTTATTAATAAGTTACTCTTATAAGATACCAGCATTTTATGGAAATCGACGATTGTGGTTCCAAGAATCCTTGCCCGGTCGTAAATCTAGCTTTAACAGAAATTACTGCAACAATAAATTTAATACTTAAATTCTTTTCAACATAAGAGACATAATATTCATAGCGGCTATAATTTCACGATGTTAGTTAAAATATGTTTAACATAAATAGCTATATTTGCATACGGTATAATTGTGCAAAAGTTTACGACAGACATTTGGTCTGCAGATTGTTGTTAGTTATCATGAGGTTTTCCCATGCACAATTACGCATAGGAGAAATCTATCAGAAGCAGTAACGAATCTCTTCTGTTCAAAACAGAGATATGTTTTATTTTTAATCGTCAACAAATGAACATTTAGCATATCTAATTCTGAGAGTCAGCAATAAACAATTTTTATCTAACTTATCGAAATGACTTCAAGTTAATTATGATGAACTCGCTGCACATTTTGAGTAAAATATGTGATTGTCTGGTCCTAGGTAATATTTGCTCGAGAAGAACCTGTTTAAAGTAAATGTTGAATAGCAGGTGGATGAAGGGTGGACAGTATTTGTGCAGAGCAAATTAACTGATTATGACTGTAGTCTAACGAAATTAAATTCATTAACTATACACAGTAGAGTGCGACAAAGCAGCGAAATTAATAACCATTTGTGTTAAATTTAACGGTAAAAAATTAAAACGCTGGAAGCATCATAAAGTTAATTAAAATTAAATCACGAATTTGCAATTACATATACAGTATGCGCCAAAAAGATACGACTCTCTTTTAATTACTATTATGTTTGCTGAGTGTGACACAATAACGCAGTGATTGCAATTAAAGGAAATCATATCGAATAAATATTTGGTAGAAGGACAAAATTTTTGTGTTATAATCAAATTTGCCCCCGTCCACTCACTTTATTTAGCTAAACCGACAACTGAAGTGTTAGTTATGAGAGTCGTTTTTTTTTTTGGCGCATACTGTACATGCAGTATTATTATCAAATTACATTACAAATTATACCAAAAAGCCTGTTAAAATAAACAAACTTTTTTTCGACGAAAAGTTTTATCGCAAAATTAGGTCACTAAGCGCTCTATACGTTAACGAGATCGTAAGAAGAAGTTAAAATAAACTATCCTGTTCGAAACTTTTGTCATCATTTTTCTCACGATTAAGATAAGAAGCTCTCAAGTTCATGAGAAAAAGTTTTTGTTAGCCTTTGGCGTGTAAAGATAATCCAAACAATGCATATTGACTTTGTTTTAAGAGGATTCTTTTTAGGCATTTTTTGCTTAGCATATATGAGCATATAAACACGGAGAAACGCTCTTATTGTCCATATTCTATGTGAAATTAATTATGACAATACATAATTACTTCATTTTAAGCTTTAAAATTAATAATTAATGTTGCGATTGACTGTAAAAGTATTGGCACATGTATAATAAAAGATATCGGTTTAAGAAAAGAAAGATGATAAAATATTATTACAACAGAATTTTCTGTCGTAAAAAATATTTTATAATATAAAATTTAAATATTATGTTTAAATATTAATAAATTCACATTACTCATTTAAAAACACTATAAAAAATATTGTACAATAAAAACAATATTAAAAATAAAAAAAATATTTAAATATAATATCTTCTATCTTTTTCTCCTTTAGTAATATTCTGTATTACGTATGACACATCGGCATCTTTATTGCCGATTCCCGCGACGTTGATTAACTCTAATCTCAATGTACGTATATCTTTCTATTCGTGTCATGATGCGATCATCTAGAGAGAATGAATTCAGTTAACTTCAATTAAGGTTAACCAGTGTCAGAAGCATCGATTCCTAAAATAAAGGTCTATAATTTTAGTAATACGTCAATCATTGAATAGATTACATAAACTTGCCCGTTAAACCTAAATTAAACGACATTCCTGATTTGCTTTTCAATAATCATTTTTCAAGTAATACAATATAGATATATTACTACATGGTCTTATTTAAATATGTGAAATAAGTTAGTACTTAATACTTATTATTCAATATATATGTATATTAATAAAAATAAGTCCTCCTTCTGCAATCTAATATATCATTTCCGGCACAAATAAAATTTCACTTTTAAATTTTATTAATTGTTTATTAATTTGTGATATTGCTACTCCAACTTCGGGTTAAAATTGTGTTTCAAGATCGATAAATAATTTGCACGAAATCGACAAACAAAGATGTTTGATCGATTTGTAAGATCGACAATTTGGCATACAATTTGCTTGAACTGGAAATTGTACGAATAAACAAAAAATATTTATTAAACACGAAAAACCGTTTTGACTGAACATAACGTTTTTCATTCATGATAGTTAAATCAAATTAATAGTTCATATATCAAATACATATATGTTTACATTTAATAAATATTTACTTAGAATTATTTAAATAAATTTTTATTAAAATTTATTTATTTTTTCATTGTAATCATTTTGATAGATATATAATACGTAATTGTTTTAATGGTTAATAAAATTATTATTTTCAGAACATAGAGAGGAATTTACATAAATGTTGGATTGATTCCGGCTTCGGCTTTAGACTTTAGGCTTTAGACTTTATACAAGCGCGAGCGACGTGACGGTGGGTGGTAACGGCTCGCAATTGCGTGGAGGGAGAACCGGCCACTTGGTAGGGGAATAATAACGACGGCCGGACTGACATACACGAGGCGTGCAAAGAACCGTCGGAGATGTGAGGCTTTATAAATCGCGAGGATGCACATCGAAGCAGTGACACCTCGGCTGACGACGGTGAAAAACGCGCGGCCGCGATCGACTAGGAGCGGCGAACACATTTTTCACACTTGAGCATCGTGAGTATCGTATCCGTGGATTAAAGACGCGGCGCAAAAGTTTCCAACAAATGACATCGGAAAGTTTTCTACTGATGATCAACGATCGTTCGTCTTATATATTTTTCGCGAAAAGATGGTAAAAGATTCCTCCCTTCTTCGAGGGAGGGATTGAAATCTTGATTCAAAGGGTAGTTCGATCGCGATTAATTTATTACGCTTTCTAAGTTTTTTCTTTGTTTTATCGGCCTCGTTTCGACGAAAGTATTTGAAATAACGAACCTTTCAAGGTTTCTGAAACATCAAGAACAATATTGACATTTTGGCACAAACATTTCGTTCGCCATATTGCCACACTTTAACCGTGTAAGGTCGATCGTTCACGTCGGAACCATTCAATCGGTTACCTTCTCCGGAAATAGATCGACCGGAACTCGCCGCCTCGAGGAAGATTGCGAGATTCTTCGACACGACTAGTCGATGCGCTTCCAGCTGCAGTAGCATCGATCGTTGCAAATTGGATTGCCGTTAAGACTCGAGCGACGGAGACCACCTTGGAGTTGAGCAGACTTGTTCATTGTCGACGGTATCAGGGCGAAATTTCTAGAGAGAATTTCGGAGTTCAGAGCATTTGCGACTTAATTTGCCACTGGAGAAGCGCACGTCTAACACCTGGGATGTGCCATAAACGAGCGTGACTGAGAAGAAGAAGGGAACTGCACGTGTTCACGGATGAGACTTGTTAGTAGAACTTGTAACGAGAGTCAGTGATCTTAACAAGAAGGTAAGTACGAATTCTTTGATGCAAGAATAATAACATATGGATTGATAAAAAAGTGACACAAGTAAAAAATTAATATTTTTTTGATAATGGAAGGAAATCGAACCTAAAGACTAATATATTTTTATGAAAAACAATACATTTGTAATTTATTTGTATGAAAAAGTATTACAACACTAATAAAAAAATTTATGCTATATTGGGATCGCAGTGTTCGTATTTTGAAAATTCATGACACACATAACTTTAAAGAATACAATGTTAATCTTTTACTTTAGACCGCATGTGAGAAAACAATCAATATTAGCAATTAAAAGGCTGCAATTTAATACGGCCGAAGCTAGATTTTTAATCCTTTAAATAATTCAAATCTTGATCCACTAAATATACTATATATGTACTTGCATATATTTGTAGTCTTTTCGAACTGCGCGTCGAATTTATCCGAACTATGTATAAACGCAATTAAATTACATTAGTAATATCGCGAATTAAATTAATTTCTAATAATTTCGATGCTCAAGAATACATTATAATTAAATTAATTTAAAGAATACGTTATAATTAAATTAATTTAAAGAATACATTATAATTAAAAGTATAACTTGAAAGAAAGTGAAGTTATAGAAATTGCATGTTCACTATCCCAATTAAAACGTTGTTCCAAAAGAAATTCAGAATTTTTAAAACTCCACTGAAAAATTGTTAATTTTGAAAGATGTCACTTTTTTATTAACGCAGCGCGATGAAATATGAATTAAAGTAAAGTAAGCTTTAACGGTTTGATTACAGAAGAATATAAAATGGCATTTTAAAACAATTATACATAAACTGTATGTCTAAATCTTCTTCTTAGTAACAAATGATATAAAAATACATGTATTTGCTGTTTTATCTCTTTTATTCGCTTCGATTGAAAATAGAATTAATTCTCTTAATTGATTACTTCTTTTTATTATACATTTCTTTGCGATTGTAAGTCCGACATATGATGATGGTATAATATATGCAGTTGTCAGGGATGATTTTATTTTGGAAAGATCTAGTAATCTCTATAATCACACAAGTCCCACATGATTGCGTATAATTAAACGTGGCCTCATTGATAGTCGCACAGGAATTTATATAGGGCACTTTAATTACGTTATCGTAAATGAAGATCAATTGAAAATCCTATTAAGGCATTATGCAAATTTAATAACTGTTAATTAACAGGTTACTATAAAATTTCGGTATGTAATCACATACGATAGTTCTGCTGATGTAATTATCGGTATTTGTTTTGGAATAACCAATTAAGGAATTTTTTTCAAATATTTATATGTTTTCCATTGCACAATATGAGAGACCTCGACATAAATTAAGAATGAATTGATACTTATTTTCTTTAGGGTTATCCGACGCATGATAAAGCATGATAAAAAGTGCACTGTGAAAGGAACTAACACATTAAAAATCGTCAGTTTTATATATTATTCTTCTTAACTATGTATCTTACTTAACTACAGAATCGCAATAATTCAATATCATAGTATTTTTCTCAAACAAAATTATAACTCATATAAATAGTCAACTTTTAAAAGAATTAAATGTCCTCATATGACGTGCAATTTTTTTATGCAAATTTGGATTTTTGAAACATTTGAGATGGATTTATTTAAACAGATTTGCATATACAATACATTATATACAATCTATTCAAACTTCATATTATAAGTAACAACTTTTTTCTTATTATTTGTCATGCTTTTTATTATTCACATAAATTTTTTTGATCCTGCATGAAAATTGACAAGATTAATTCATTGTTTTCAATTTATACTCATGTGATGAATGTTATAAATATTTGAAAAAAAATGAAAAATTAAACAGGCCGGTAAGAATGTTGAAATACATTAAAATTAATTATGTAAAGCCATTTCTAAAATAACACATAATATTCAGTAAAAATTGCAGTATTTTAATTTTACATTATAAATGTCCGAGAAGAAAACTTATGAGTTGGAAGAGTATAACAAATTCCTAGAAGAAGTTTCCAGTTGTATGCCAGGTGTATCATTACCTAATTTAATAGCCGGCAATTACTCGCTTATCTTATTCTCATATAAGCTAACTTCCGCCTCGATTGATCCCACCGATGCTATATTTGCAGCATGCAATTATCGCTAATCAGTAATTCACAGAAAAACAAAAAAGATCCACGCGAGGCTATTGCTCCTTATCGATTCGTCGATTCACAAAAAAAAAGTTTGTTTATTGAAATATTATCGATGTGACATTATCACATGCGCATGAGTGGAATTCTATATATAAATACAAATGCGTATAATTACGATAGTGGCTTTGCCTAAGGCGACAAATACAGTCACATGTTGCATGCGATTGAAAGCTGCAGCAACTTTATAAAGAAAAATCATAATTTCCGCTTTTCTAGAGAGCAATTCCTTCCATTATTCCCTTCCTCTGTCTTTTGTTATACACAAATGTTAAGTGTGTATTTAAAGCTTTAATCAAGATTTAATTATGAAATTATCTACTTAAAAATTTGAAATTTAAAATTTGATTCTGATTCCCTAAAGGTAAGAATACTTAATTGTATTAAATTTTACATTCTGAGATATATATTATTAGACTATGTATTTTTGTATTCAAGAAAAGAATAATAAGTAATTTAAAACAAACGAGATAATCTTTATATAAATCATAGATTAGTATGTTTTGCTTTTATGGGAATCTGAAGGCAGGAATTGACCGTTTATTTTTCATACGCAAAAAAATATACATGGCTACGATGAATACAGCAATGATCTCATGAATGCTTGACACGTTCGTTTCCATGCTAGTGGAGCTATTAAGTCACAATGACGTTTCTGGCAGTCATTGAGAGCATATGTCGTTGTATCAGCAACGTGGAGCCCCGCTGACAAGGTCACGCGATTTAATCGTGGACTTGTGAAACGATTCCTTCGAGGTTACGTCAACGAAGCATCGAAGCATCATCGTAATGTAAATAATGTTACAGATCTCGAGTGTCAATCATTTGTAATGAACGCATCGATGAAAGCATTTGCTGTTATAATTTGTTAAACAAAGAATGTTAACGGAAACATTTATTTTGTCGCAAAATAATAAATGATTAGAGTAATTAGAAGTTCATGATGAATCGAAGTTTGCATGTAATTAAGGTTGCAAAATTAAAGCTAATAAAGTTATGAAATTAAATTTAATTATTGTGATAATATAATTAGAACAAAATTCGTTAAAGAGTTCATGGTATTTCCGCAATATCTGAAGTATTTTCCTCTCATTTATTATTAAAAATGTAATTATTTGTTTACTTTATTATTAACCTTTTATTATTAAAAATTCCAAACTTTTCAAATAAGATTACTTGAAACAATATCAGCTAGTGAAAACAATAAATAATTACTAAAATCATAAATAATAAATTTATGTTTTTTTTTAAAGAAAAGCTTAAATAAGAATAACTAAAAATTGAAGATTAATGTTAAAAAGAGTGCAAACAAGTTTCACTGTATGATTTCATATCAATATTCATTTATTTAATCCTAAATAATATGTACATATTTTAAATATGTATCATTTATCATTTATTTCTACATTAATGATTTTTTTGGATTTTTTTTCTGAAGAAATTGATATTTACACTTTATGCTTGCATTTCTTAAAGATACTGTAAAAACATTAAAGAAAACGATTCTTTTGTCCATTTTCTCAAAATGACGATGGATCCAGATAAACGTTACTTGACCTCACCGCATCGTTACATTACTTTTGAGCGGGTCTCGAGAAGCAGATTCGAGCGAGCGCTACGCACGCGTTGAACCATTGCACGCGCGCGCATGCAGATTAACGGTGCATCGCGCGGCTTATCGACAGCCTGGCGTATTCGTCCGATCGGTCGAAATTTTCTCGACGAGCCGATTGCGCGACGCGTTCTATGAAATCGACAATAAATCCCTCCAGGACGCTAAAGGGTGAGGAGGGTAGGAATGTCTCTTTCTCTACATTGTATCTAAAGGGTGAGCAAGCTATTAAACCGTCGCGAATTGTGACAAAAAATCTCTCGCGCGCCTTGAATTCCTCCTCCTCCTCCTCCTCCTCCACCTCTTCCTCGATGTACGCTTATCGATCAGGGAGTGCACCGTATAGCCTGGTAACGCGGTTACGTCACGTATATAAATGCTAAATATCCAAGCTTCGAGAAACATCGTTCTTTCTAACTAGAGACGATTTCGTGTTCACAAATTGCTTAGGCAATTGAATAGAAAGAAAATTATATTTATATTATTGATCGAACGATTAAAATGTCTCTCTGTCAGTTTTAGTATGCTAGATACAGACCTCAAAAAAATTAGGGAATCGCGAAAAATCAACGTTAAAAAGGAGCGAATTCAAAATAACGTATTTTTGTAAAAAATGGTCGCAAAGCGATATTTGAAAAAGCGTTTTAGAACTTGAAATTTTACTTTGAATGGTTCCCGTGTCTCTGCAACGATTTTACTACAAACGGCATTAATTTGAACCATGAAAAATTAAAGATTAAACTTCAACTTTAATGACGTGTACGGGAGAACAAAATTATTTTTGCAAGTTTCTTCAATTGCGTCGTAAAAAATATTTTCTATTTAATTACAGTTTTTCAGCATATTAACATCTTTATAATATGATGCCTGATTGAGTATCAAAAATTATTAAAATTACTTGTCAATTTAATTCGCGAGTTTACTACAGTAGTTCAATTGCGTTTATGTAGTTCGGAAAAGAATTCGGCGCGCAGTTCGAAAGACTACAAATATGGTATATATGCAAGTATATATATAATATATTTAGTAATTCAAGATTGAATTATTTAAGCATTAAAGATCCAGCTTCGACCGTTATAGGCATTTTAATAATGATTGTGTTCTCACATAAACTAAAATAATATTGTTTATATTATTTTCTCTTTAAAATGTTTTTCTAATCGTTACGCAACAATA